ACATTTTTTATAATAGTATAAATTGAATTTTTTAAAATTTCACTGTATATAAAAAATATAATTACTATTTATATAACATATATAAAAAAATACCCACAACTACGTGCAATGACGGCTATAGATTCTGGAGGAAGTATAATACTCCAATTCAATGAAGTCCCATTACTATTTATATAAAATATATAAAAAAATACCCACAACTACGTGCAATGACGGCTATAAATTCTGGAGGAAGTATAATACTCCAATTCAATGAAGTCCGCATCGGGCACTTATACATCAGTCTGTTGGTGCAATTAATACCTTAATTAGTACTAAAATATAAACTATTTTACAGTTATGGTGCGGTTGACATAATTGCCCAAGGAATTTTAACCTGTTAAAAATCTCTCTAAGGATCCCTATACTGATTATTGACGGGATGAGAATGGGGAGGGATCCTACCCCATGGGGACGCGTTGCCGTCCCTAGCTTAGAATTTTACTAATAATTGTTCCCCAAGACTTCAGTTGTTTTTGTTGGAGTTTTTGTTTTACGAAGAAAAGCGTAGAGAAGAGACTTGCAGGACAAGAAGAGACACCCAGGGTTCCGTCTTTTGGTGAGCTGCAACTCAATTTCTTCATTATCTTCTGCTCTCTCTTTCTCTATCAATTTTCCTAAATATTTCCCTCAATATTATTCTGAATTTTTCATTCCTTTCTCCATTCTCTTTTTGCCATAGCTCCCTTTTATTAAAAAAAAAAAAAAAGAAATGGAAACCCAAACCCTTCACACCAATCTCAAACTGCAATCTTCAATCACAAAATACAGATAAAAACCAATTCAAATAGAATCAGAAACCTAAAATACATTTGAGTCTCTGCATCCTTCCTCTTTAAAAGCCAAGTTCATATCTCCGTGGATTAGGGCTTTTAACTCCAAATCGATTTTGGACTTCTTTTCTTGCAGATCTCCTCTGGTTCCTTCAATTGGTTGACCCTAGATCCGAAAATCTCTTCACTAAATTCGTCTTTTAATCGAACTCAAGTTGATGAAGAAGAAATTTTGGGAGAGGTGGAGGCTCATATGAAAACGACGTCGTTTCATGGATTCTTTCCTTTGAACCTCATCTTCCGTGCATGCATCAACTTAGTCCCCTAACATCTTGTTTCATCAATCTGGTCCTATAACTCACAATTTCAAAGTCTTAGTTCTTTGCAACCAAGTCCAATTTATTTTATTTCTCTTACATGATTAATTTTTAATTTTATCATTGAATCATTAAAATTAAAATTATAAAAAAAATTAATTTTACTTAAAGCATTAGAAAAGATTTTCAAAAAAAATACTTGATGAAAATTGAGTCATGACAACAATATCCTAGAGCCTACAAGACGGTTGTGGAGAGACATGTCGAAGTTTTTTTTTTAATATTTTTAGTTAGGAGTTTTTTAATTTGTTTTATGTATGGTGAAACAGCCTAAGGTGGAAATGGCTTCTCCCAGCACAATTATGGAACAGCCTAACATGGAAAATGATTCAAGGGATGCTTCGATCGTCGAGCTTCAAGAAATTGTCGTCCCTCCTTCGGAAGATCTGCAAACAGGTTTTATTTAATTCACAGTTTATTTATCATCTCCCCTACCAGCGTGGTTATGAAACAGCCTAACATGGAAAGTGATTCAGGGAATGCTTCGGTTGCCAAGCTTCAAGAAGATGCCGTCCATCCTCCGGAAAATCCGCAAATAGGTTTTATTTAATTCACAGTTTATTTATCATCTCCCCTAAGCAATAATTTTTGGATAATAATTAATCAATATATTATTTTTGGCTGAACCCCAAGTACACACCACAAAAAATAAGCACAGACAGATCCTTATTAAAAGGATAGAAATAAATTATTTTTTAAATTATCCATTAAAATAAATAACTTATTACTTAATATGTAATGATTAATTTATTACTTACTCTGTTTCTAATAAAAAGATACCGTATAATGACATTAAATGTTAAATAATATATTCTTACTCTTTTTTTCCTTTTTCTAGGGCGAGTTCTGTCTATCTTCCCTTATTGGTAGCTTAATTTAATTTTTAGTATATTAACTATCACCTTGATTTCATTTTAGTTTAGAAACTATGTTTTATTTTTAAGTGGTCTATTAACTTTCAGATTCATTTCAATTTCGTCTACTTGGTCAAAGATAACGGAAAACTTCCTATTCTAGAGAACAATTAATCCTCTGATTATATTTTTTTGATTTTTTAGTCCTTAAATTTACATTTGTCATAAAAATAGCTTTTTTACTTAAAATTATTATTTATAAGCTCTGATACCAAATTTTTAATCGGGTTTTCTTATTTTTTTTAATTTGGTATCAGAGCCTGAAAGTTAATAGACCACTCAAAAATAATAATTTTAAGTATAAAAATCTAGTATTAGAGCCTAAAAATAATAATTTTAAGTATAAAAGCTATTTTTATAACAAATATTATTTATAAGCTCTGATACCAAATTTTTAATCGGGTTTTCTTATTTTTTTTAATTTGGTATCAGAGCCTGAAAGTTAATAGACCACTCAAAA